CCCTTCTCAGCTGGCCATCCCCTCTGACACTCGGGGCCTGGCTGTGAAAGTGAGCAAGTTCTGAGGGTGATCAGTTGTGCTCTGGGCCTGCCTTTTTCAAGCCCCCCACCCTGAGTCCCCTCCCCACCCCCTACCAGAGGTTTGTACAATCAAGGAAAAAGGGAGCTGGGGGTGAGAGAGCCACGCACAGGGATGCTTTGCTCCTGGCTGCAGGGGCAAGTCTAAGGGGCTGGGGTGGGATGGGATAGTGGGATGTTACCCTATTTCGATGTCAGACACGAGCCATTTCACATGAAAATCCAGATTTCTGCTATTGTTGGAAAACCCAGCAGATCTGGCCACTGGGGTCACATACCTGCAGGCAGTCCCAATCCTGAAGGGAGGTGATCTCCCCTTCACTACAGTTCCCTTTGGCCAGCTCTATTCATTTATGCCGACCATCTGACTACCGTTGTTACGTGAGTTTGTACCCTGCCTCCAATTAAAAGGTGCTAAATTGTCATTACTCATGGTGATCCTTGAACTGCTAACAACTCTTAATAAGAACTATGTTACCTGTGTTTACATTTAGTAAATAAGCCTTTGGGGGCCCTCCACCCTCATCCCTTCTAGGAGGCAGAGGAAAGAACTGCACTTTGAAGCTATAGACAATTTGATATTAATCTTGGTTAATCCACTTCCCAACTGTGTGGCCTTGGAAAAATCATAACCTCTCTGAGCTTCAGTTTTGTCCTCCATGAGAGGAGGACGAGGGTGCCTGCTTTATACTAAGACATTAGCTAGAGTTTAGATATATTCAAAGTTATGGAAAAAAAGAAAAACCCAGAATCGAACAACAAACATTTCATAGGTGCTCTGAAAATACACAAAATTGTTTTAGCTGCTTACTGAGAATGTGGTGTTTTAAACTGCAGCAAACAAAGCAAAGGTACATGTTATTGAAGTGGGGACGTGGAGGGGATATCCCTCATGGAGAGTCATTTATCCATGGGCAGGAGGGTATGTGACAGTTACCAACAGAAGGAAAGACTGTTTTCAGAGAGCATAATCTTTCTAGCTTTCACACTCACCCTTCCTCTCATCCCCCCTTGGGGTATATCACTACACCTGGGGATCAAAAAAGGGGGAGGAATGAGGAAACCCAGTTATTTCAAGTGGCAGCTCCCTACACCTGAATTTCCCCAATTTTGAAAAATAGAAACGTGTTCCATAGCAGTTGGTTTGAAAGGGCAGGACTGGTGAGATTGGAGGAGATTGTCTCAAAGTTTAAATATAGGAAGTTGCTACTCTGTAAAGACAGGAATTTATGGTTCTAGACTTTTGATGGTTAAAATTTTTAAACTTCAAGCTAAAGCAGGGAGAAAAGATGATGAAGAGGACAGGAGTCTTTTGAAAGGCAGTGTCCAAAGGCAAAATTCTCTTGCATTGTTAAGTGGTGGTGGTACAGAGGGAGGTTAATTGAGGTCTTATCTCCTCTCCAGCCAGGCCAATTCTCAGGGCTCACTTTTGTCTTAGAAACCCTGGCCCTTTCTGGGTTTTGAGCACTTGACTAATGTCTCTCAACTGATCAGCTGTGCCCCTCAGATGATTGCCCCTAACCCTTAAGAAATCATCTTCCATGAGACCTTGCTTGAAACCTTTGCCCTCAGTGGCTGAGCTATTACCTTTTCGGGAGGCTGAGCACTAATGGCTTGTTTATGAGGCTGGCCTCACTAAACCACGGAATCTTGTCAAATCTTGGAACAGAAACCTGGAAGGAAATGGAAAGAGATCATTTTGCAGGGTTTATTGCACTTGGCTATTTCCGTCACTAGGATGATCAAAGTAAGCTAATAGCAGCTGCACAGCAGTCAACACTTTACAAAGCATTTTTATGTTTCATATTTGACCCTGTTGCCTCTCCCATTAAGTAGCCAAGAGGAAATAGTGTTATCTCCATTTTACAGATGAAGAAATCAAAGCTTAGACAGTGTGATTTGCTGAGTCACACAGCTAGTGAGTGGATTTAGGTTTTCTGACTTTTGTGTCCACTACATCTTGTATTCTACTATATCCCTTTGCTTCTTCATTACTCCCATCTGTTCATGCATCTGCTTGTATTTCCATGACCTCAGCTGAACATAAGCACCTATTCAAAGTGTCTGGCTGTTTTCAGTCATGGGGCCCTCCACCCTCATCCCTTCTAGGAGGCAGAGGAAAGAACTGCACTTTGAAGCTATAGACAATTTGATATTAATCTTGGTTAATCCACTTCCCAACTGTGTGGCCTTGGAAAAATCATAACCTCTCTGAGCTTCAGTTTTGTCCTCCATGAGAGGAGGACGATATCATCACTTTACAGGTCAATGCACAAGACAGAAACCTTCATGAGGGGAGGGACTTTTGTCTGTTCTGTTCACTGCTGTTACCGCTAGCACCTAAAACAGTGCTTGATACCTGTAGATATTTAGTGAATATGTGTCCGGTGGATGCACGGATGCATGGGAAGTCCCCAGCTGAGGGCCTGAGTTCATAATATGAACTCCATCAAAGTGGCCGTTATAATCTCTCTTCTCTCAGCCCAGCCTCTATCCCTTGCCCTTCGGACACCAGGACCCAGTCTCCCCGTTCAGCATCCGCTTTCCTGTCTCAGAGCTTTCTTTCCGGGATAGGAGCCGGGAGTTCCTCTGAGCGGCCAGGAGGGGGCAGCCGCGAAGGCCGAGGAAGGGCGCTCTAACCGCGGAGGTTGTGGCGGCCCCGGAAGTGCTCGGCCGCCGACACGACCCCGGCGACCCGGATGGGGAAGGAGGCGGGCGGCCGCTCTACCGCTGCTGCGCACCCCTACGAACTCGCGGGCAGGTGTGTTCCGAGTGGGAGTCAGTGTGTCCGGGCCTCCTCTGCCATCCCCCGCAGGCCCGAGGCTGGGTGAGGGGCGGCGGCGGGCGGGGGAGGCCCGGGAGGGGGAGTAGGGCGCCCGCGGGGACGCCCTCCCCTGCCCCACCCCCCGCCCCCTCCCCTGCCCTGCGGGCGGGTATTGCCCTTTTTGGCGCCTCTGACCCTCCAGCCCTCGCGGCGGCCGTGAGATCCCCGGGCTGGGTTCCCTGCTGCAGTGAGGGGGGCTCTCAGGGTGTCTGGCTTGTGATGCAAAACCTATCGTGCTCTCCATGGAAGAAATTAGGTCGGGCAATAAGAATTTTCCTCGCAGACTTGCAGGATGAACTTGGTATTTCTGACTCATAGTTTTACCATTGTGGAAAGGGTATCATTATCTTTGATCCTCCCGAGTTTCGGCGTTAATAAGTAGGATGATAGCTGTTTAAAGGATAACTCAGTTAAGGGATTAAGAATCTTGAGTCCTTGGTTTTGGTTGAATAAACCATAAAGCTCATATCTTTCTGTATTGTGAGGTTTACTTTTGTCTTTAGACCGGTAACTTTTTTGTTTTTATTTTAAGTAACAGCTGCCTTTGAAAGCCCAATAAAAGCTTGGAACCTAATCCTAGAAATTTGCGTAAATTACAGCTACAAATATGCGTTGACAGGGTTTTTGAACGGTCTGAAGCCCACCTGTAGACCTCAAGGATATGTGAACTCCTGAGTTAAGAACTGGTTTAGAGGCACAGGCTTTGGGGCAGAATTTTCATTGGAATCTGGATCCACTATTTACCACTGTTAACTTGGGCTAAAGTTACCTAAGCACTTTGAATCTCAGCTTTTTTACTAGTTACAGTGAGGTTGATACTAATTTGCAAGGCTGTGGAGATTAAATGAAAGAAGCTACGTAACACTCTTAGAACATAGTGAGCACTCCATAAGTGATAGCTGACAAGGGATCATAATACAAAATCTGAAATGAAATTTTAATATCCATAATTATAAGATGGCCACCACGTGTATTCTGTTCAGACTGCTAATAAACTTCTAATAAAGCAATAAGTTGGTTTGATTTTAACTCAGCCCTACCCTTGACTTTTCACAACTTTCATAGATTCATAGTCTCTCTTTTTCTAGGAACTTAGCTGTATTGTCCTGCCTCAGAGAACAAACTCATCTACTGTAGACCTAGCCTGGGTTGCTGCCTTTGAAAGCAAGAGAAGGTCGGTACAATATCACCCACAGCTCAGCATGGAATTTCCAGTGAGGTTTTATTTCAAAACTTTATAAAGATTGAGAACCACATGGACTTCTGCAAGGGAGATTGAACTGGCCTGAGTTTGAGCGAAAGGATAATGTGTGCCCAGCCAGTAACTAACACCAAAGAGGCCAGGTGGCAGAAGGTCTTGTATGAGCGACAGCCTTTTCCTGATAACTACGTGGATCAGAGGTTCCTGGAAGAGCTCCGGAAGAACATCTATGCCCGGAAATACCAATATTGGGCTGTGGTATTTGAGTCCAGTGTGGTGATACAGCAGCTGTGCAGTGTCTGTGTTTTTGTGGTTATCTGGTGGTATATGGATGAGGGTCTTCTGGCTCCCCATTGGCTTTTTGGGACCGGCCTGGCTTCTTCACTGATTGGCTATGTTTTGTTTGATCTCATTGATGGAGGTGAAGGACGGAAGAAGAGTGGGCGGACCCGGTGGGCTGACTTGAAGAGTGCCCTAGTCTTCATAACTTTCACGTATGGCTTTTCGCCGGTGCTGAAGACTCTGACAGAGTCCGTCAGCACTGACACCATCTATGCCATGTCAGTCTTCATGCTGTTAGGCCACCTCATCTTCTTTGACTATGGTGCCAATGGTGCCATTGTATCCAGCACACTGTCCTTGAACATGGCCATCTTTGCCTCTGTCTGCCTTGCCTCACGCCTGCCCCGGTCCCTACAC